GCAAGGTGATTAGAGATAGGTCCTTAATTCATGATTGCATGTGTTTGCATTAGCATGGCTCCTATAATGGGGTCATTTACTGAGTATTTCTTCGAAATACTCAGACCGTGTGACATATTGTTTTTCAGGTAAAGGCAAGGCGTCCATGTACGGTTGACGGCGACATCGTTATCAGAGAATGTGGCGCGTGCATTGGACAAAATAATACACTAAATAATACTATGTATTTTTTGGATCCTAACTCAATTATTCGGATTAGAAAATTTTCAATCCAAACAATTTTTCTTAAATAATGAACTCAACCATCAAATTTTAAGGTTGGATTAGAATCTCGTGTTTATTCATTAAAATTTAATTCATAAAGAAAACTATTTATTTATTTTCAAATATTGAATTAAGTTTTACAACTTAGTTTCAATATATATGGTTAAAAATAATTAGGAGGGCTGAAAAATAAACATATATTAGTTCGTTGCTACAATGGAATGCTTGGGTATTAGTTCTCCATTTTATATCCGTGAAACGCCTCATCTTTGTAACGTCTTCTTTATTTCCTTGCAATTTCAAGGAAAGAATAATCACGTTTTGTAACGTCTATGCTGGCCGTTCTTGATTTAAAAGGAAGTTGTTTTATTTTATTCTTGTCTAATCATGCCGTTAACATTGATTGATGGACGTAAATTATACTATTATTAAAAGTAACCTATTTCTTAAATACAAATTTAAAGCATGAACCCAACCTTATTTGTATTAATTATCTTTCATAATCTGTATAAAAGGTAGGAATGTAGGTGTACTATTGCTATACCTCTTTTCCTATGCGAGAAATTTAAGATGATAAGCGCAACGATTAGCATGTAGTATAGCCCGGTTTATAAAATCTTCAAGTGGAAAGCTTAAGTTTTATAGCATTTAATTATGGTTTTTGTGATGGTTAAAGATTACCGTTTAATTGATGGGTGTGAAATTCAGTTGTTGATATCTTCGGTGCATTTAAATCATAAAGATTGCAGATATCAAAAATAGTTTTGATGATTTGGATTTAGAACATGGCCTGTTTCCTTGTCGTATTAATTTATAATAACCTTCTTTCCACATTTTTATTTTTTAATATTTTAGTCTCAATTATACAAATATCTAAATTATTTTAATTAGTTTTTTTATTATGTCAATTATTTTTTAACTGTATTCAAAAAAATTTGACGACATGAAAAATCTAACATTTGTATGTTTGGATTGGATTATAAAATTATTCGAATTGGGTTGAGTTAAAATAAATCATAAATTGAATTGATTTATGAATATTAGTCGAACTAAACCAATCTAAATTTAGTTTTAGTTTTAAAATATTCATTTTTGCTTAAAATATAAAAATATACTAGTGAAGGTTACTAGTTCTAGCGGGTGTCCGACCTAAGGGGCTCCTAGAGTATGCCCACCGGATAAGGAAGGTGGCCCAGCGGTGAGCGAACTAGCTTGTGAGCCCATACTCGCACGTATTGACTGTGTGTAGAGTATATGGTACACGTTCAAAATTACCCGTTAGGACAGCACCGTAGGAAAAGCGAAACAAAACGAAAGATAGGTCCCGTCATTTCATTGCATGTGATTGTTGCATTTAACCCCAATAGTGGGGTCACTTGCTGAGTATTTCTTTAAATACTCAAGCCATGTGCTACTACATTCTTCAGGTTAAGGCAACACATTCCTGTACGGCTGACGACGGCATCGCAACTCGAGACCATGACACATGCATAGAATAGTGGTATTTATTTTCTTAGACTCAGGCTAGAATAGAATGTTTTAAACTTAAACGCTTATTTATTTTATTTCGGGTCTTTTTTTGTGTCGTTTTAAAGTCCATGGGTGTGTTTTAAGATAAAGGTTATGTTTTATGGAATTTAAATGAAGTCTTCAACATTCAATGTTATGGTATGTATAAAGTAGCGACCTTAAATTAAGTAGAAAATTTAAAGTAGCGACCTTAAATTAAGTAGCGACCTTACGGAAAATCGGCCAAAGTCGGGTATGGAAGATGAGATCCATGGATCCGAGTCAACCCGAACCCAGAACCTGGGAGAGCCAGCCCGTTCCTCCCTTGGCTTCTGCCTTCGGTCCAGCCCAACTACAGCGGCCCAAACCTCAAACCGGCCCAGAAGCTACGGTTCAGTTGAACCAACCCAGACTAGACCCACGGTCCAATTGAGCCGGCCTGCAAACCAAACACTTGCGGCCCAGCCCAGCAACCCAGACTAGACCCACGGTCCAATTGAGCCGGCCTGCAAACCAAACACTTGCGGCCCAGCCCAGAAAGTCGAGGCCCAACGTTTAGCCTTGGGAGCCGGCCTGCAAACCAAACACTTGCGGCCCAGCCCAGAAAGTCGAGGCCCAACGTTTAGCCTTGGACCAGTAGCCTTCCAAAGCCCGCGACCCGAACACGACCCGAACCGGACTGCGACCCGCGCTTCGACCCGACACTACCGCCCGACGTGGCTTTCTCTGCTGCTGCCACATGTCACACAGCGGCGCGGCAGTCCTCGGCTCGGCTCAGCGCAAACGGCTCGGGCTCCCTCCGGTGACGCTCCGGCGGCTCCTCCGGCGTCTCCACTGTTTTCAGCCCGGTTTCCACTGTTTCGACCCTCCCGGATCTGTTTTCAGCCCTCCCGGATCTGTTTTCAGCCCCGATTAAGGTATCCGAGGCCATTTTAGAGACGTATTTCACATTTATTAAATTATAGGTAAATTAATTGTGAAATACTAACGGAAAGTGGTGAACGGTGTGATAGGAAACAAACCCCAGCGAAGTAGGAAGCAGCTCTCACGGAACGGGAGCTTACGTTTAGCTATTTAGGGAGTACTTCGGCCGAGGCCAACCAAGTAAGTGGCCTTACTATAGGATAGGCTAAATAAATTGTATGATGCTTGATGATATGTTTATAGATATTTTGTTGAGTGACGCTTAATATGTTTGACGCACGTTGTGGCATTATGATGAGCATGATGATTGCATGATTTTTACCTTAATATGATGATGTTTTCCATATTGAGCATGCTAGATGATGATGAGTGCCATATTGCATCATGTCGTTAGATCGACGTAGGACACAACCCTAAGAGCATGAAAATGATATTAATATAAATATCCACGATATGCGTTACCTAGAGTAACAAAGAGATGAGACTAGAGGGTTGTGTCAGAAGAGACATTACGATGGGTTTAGAGGGACCTCATGCATTTTGTATGTTCATAAGCATAGGGCTACTTCCCCTAGAGATGATGAGTGCAGACGCGCACCTTATGACGAGCGCGAATGCGCACAGGTGCGAATGCGCACAGGTGCGAAAGCACACAGATGAGGGTGTTCATGAGGCGCATGACACTATGGGGTTCCGCTGACCTCCGGACGTCGCTACAGATTAGCTTGACCAGAGGGTCTAGGGGGTGTGCGATGGGGTTCCGCTGACCTCCGGACGTCGCTACAGATTAGCTTGACCAGAGGGTCTAGGGGGTGTGCGAGCGCCCTCCGCTGACCTCCGGACGTCGCTACAGATTAGCTTGACCAGAGGGTCTAGGGGGTGTGCGAGCGCCCTGCGCTGACCTCCGGACGTCGCTACAGATTAGCTTGACCAGAGGGTCTAGGGGGTGTGCGAGCGCCCTGTGGACTCACACTCGCACGTGTGAGTCGTGTGTAGGGAAGTACTACAACATCCAATTTGTCCTCCCTGTGGACTCACACTCGCACGTGTGAGTCGTGTGTAGGGAAGTACTACAACATCCAATTTGTCCTCGACTGGAGGCCACCCCTAAGATGATTAGAGATAGGTCCCTATTCATGATTGCATGTGTTTGCACTAGCATGACCCCTATAGTGGGGTCACTTACTGAGTATTTCTTCGAAATACTCAGGTCGTGTGCCATATTGTTTTTCAGGTAAAGGCAAGGCTCCCATGTACGGTTGACGGTGGCATCGTGATCAGAGACTGTGGCGCGTGCATAGGATAGTTGCATATTTAAATTTCCTAGTCTTGGTTAGGATAGGGCGTTTGCATTTCATTCATTTATATTCATTAATTTGTAATCGTTTTATTTTGTCTTTTGAACTCCAGAACGATGTTTGAAACACGCAAGTCCGGCAGTGTTTTCCAATGTTTTAATGTATTCTGAAGTTTTAAATTTTTCCGCTAATAAAGGTGAGCAGGCTTAGATTTTTATTCTGCATTAGAGATGCGCATGAGACGTTAGTGGCGACTCTAGATATGTGGAAATTTAGGGTCGTGACAGTTGGTATCAGAGGTCTAGGTTTTAGATTCTGTAGACTAGCCTACGATGTAGGCTTGGCACGCTCCACGATCCCAATGTCGATGCCCCGTCACCGTCAGGTACGCCTTGCATAAGATAAGAAAAGAGAAACGTTTTAAAACTCGCATGCATTTTTTTTTTTATGTTGACATTACTGAAATGGTTGTGATATTTCACGTATTTATTTAAGAGTATGACGTCATGTGTTGCATGCTGAGTAATTTTGTTAATAGCATGATATGATGCTTAGCATGATGAATGTTTACTTCTTTGGCGTTACGATGTATTGTATAGTGTGCGTATTGATATATATATATATATATATATATGCATAGTATTAAGGCCTTAGACTTAAGCAACCTTATATTGGTTTATAGAACCATGCCCGGAGGACGAGAAAAAGGAAGAGGAAAAGGAAGAGGAAGACGAGGAAGGGGGCGACCCCGTCGTAGAGAAGTAGGACGAGGTGTGGCAGTAGAGGGCCCACCTCAAGAAAGATCAGAGACTGGGCCGGTAACAGTTACGCCGCCCCAGTCTTACCACCAGTTGAGCTACCTCCTCTAGCTCCACTACAAGTTGAGCCTCCACCACCAGTACAACCTCCACCACAAGTAGAACCTCCACCCCAGCCTACCCTACCACTCCAAGTCGCACCTGAAGCTGCACCCCCAGTGGGTGAGTAGATGCTAATACTAGGTTAATGTGTGACTCCATCCAAGCCCTAATTCAAACCTTGGTAACCAATCAGCAAGTCAGTCTACAACAGGCCCAGGAACAAGCCCAAGCACAGGCCCAGGCACAGGCGTTGGCACTGGCACAGGTACAGGCACAGGTACAGGCACAGGCACAGGCACAGGCCACTGCTCAGGCCAATGCCCCAGTAAACCCTCCACAACCGGTTAGATGTTCAAACTGGATAAGGGATTTCAAGAGATACGACCCTCGACCATTCACTGGTTCCCTGGTAGACCCCATAGAAGCCCAAATGTGGATTGCAGCGGTGGAAACCACCTTTGAGACTATGGAGTGCCCAGAGAACCAAAAGGTCGCCTGTGCAACCTTCGTCCTACAAAAGGACGCAAAGATATGGTGGAGAGATAATAAAACCCTCCTTAACCCAGAAGGGGGACCAATGAACTGGGAACGATTTAAGGAGGCCTTCCTTAAAGAATATTATCCTAAGTCAGAGCAACTTAAAAGGCAGCAGGAGTTCGCCCACCTGGTACAGAGAGGACTCACAGTGGAGAAGTACAACAGAGAGTTTAATAAACTCAAGAGATTTGCACCGTCCATGGTGGACACTGAGGAAAAGATGACAGAGAAATTTGTATTGGGTTTGGAACAAAGAATCCGCCGCATGTTGGAGGCGTTCAACCCAAAGACCTATGAGGAAGCCTTGAGAACTGCCAAGGCTTTAGAGAAACCAAAGGATGAGAAACGACGTGAAGAGCCAGTTATAATTGGGCAGAAGCGTCCTCATGAATCAGGAGGCTCTGACCGTCCACCACCAGCACGTAGGCACCGTCCCAATAACAGACCCGCTCCTAGATGGGATGAGCGACGCCCTCCCCGACATACTGACAGGAACCCCAGGAATCAAGATGGGGCCAAAGGGAGGAGAGAGGAAGGGTGCACTATCTGTGGAAGACTACACGGTGGGAGGTGCATGGCTGGCAGCCGAGCGTGTTATAGATGTGGTCAGGAGGGGCACATCGCCGTGAACTGCACGGCCGGAAATGCTGCAGCACAAGCAAACCCGCCCAGAGTAGTAGAGCAAACGGATCAACCAGCACCACCGCGAGCTCAAGCTAGGGCATACGCGTGAACCAGCAAGGACACTGGGAGGTCCGACGTCGTGGTGACAGGTACACTATCCATTTTAGGTCATTTCGCTTTTACCTTATTTGATTCTGGTTCCACGCATTCCTTTATTTCCATGCCTTTTGTTGTACAAGCAGGGTTCGAATTAGAACCCTTATTGCATGAAATGTCTATAAGCACCCCTACGAGGGTAGACTTAGTATCTAGGGATAGAGTAAAGGATGGCCAAGTAATCATAGGGAACCAAACTTTAAGCGTTGACCTGATGGTGGTAAACATGACAGATTTCGACGTCATACTAGGCATGGATTGGTTAGCTGAAAATCGAGCTAGTATAGACTGTCGCAAAAAGGAAGTAAAATTTTCACCACCGATAGGACTTACCTTTAAATTTAAAGGCACAAATACCAGGATTACCCCCAAGGTAGTCTCGATGATGAAAGCAAAGAGGTTAGTCCAACAAGGTGGATGGGCTATATTAGCATGTGCTGTAGACGTGAGAGGAAAGGAAGAGACCCTAGTAAACGTTCCAATAGTAAACGAGTTCCTGGATGTATTTCCGGATGACTTACCTAGAATACCCCCTTCCCAAGCGGTCGACTTCGTCATCGAACTCGAGCCGGGAACTGGGCCTATTTCCAAAGCACCCTATCGCATGGCGCCAGCAGAGTTGAAGGAACTCAAGGCGCAACTGCAAGACTTACTAGATAAAGGATTCATTCGACCTAGCGTGTCCCCCTGGGGTGCGCCAGTGTTGTTTGTTAAGAAGAAAGATGGATCGATGCGTCTGTGCATCGATTAAGAGAGCTAAACAAGAGGACCATAAAAAACAAATATCCTCTGCCTAGAATAGAAGACTTGTTTGATCAACTCAGAGAAGCAACAGTATTCTCTAAGATAGATCTTCGGTCCGGTTACCACCAAATTAGGATTAATGAAAAAGACGTACCAAAAACAGCGTTTAGGACAAGGTACGGTCACTACGAGTTTGTAGTGATGTCATTTGGCCTCACCAATGCCCCAGCTGTATTTATGGGTTAATGAACCGGGTATTCAAAGAATGCCTAGACATGTTTGTGATTGTGTTCATTGACGACATCCTCATATACTCGAGAACCGACCTAGAGCACGAGGAACACCTCCGAAAAGTCCTAACCACCCTAAGAGAGAACAAGTTGTACGCCAAGTTCTCCAAATGCGAATTTTGGTTACGACAAGTCTCTTTCCTAGGACATGTGGTGTCAAAGGACGGAATATCTGTAGATCCCACCAAGGTCGAAGCGATCACAAAGTGGGAACGCCCAACTACGGTAACGAAAGTAAGGAGTTTCCTAGGATTGGCGGGATATTATCGAAGGTTCGTACAGGACTTCGCTAAAATATCCTCGCCTTTAACAAAGTTAACAAAAAAAGGGGTGCCATTTAGATGGGATGATGCTTGTGAGGCAAGCTTCCAGAACCTAAAAGAGAGATTGGTAACCGCCCCGGTACTCATAGTACCCGAGAGCTCAGAAGGATATGTGATCTATAGTGATGCCTCCATGAAAGGACTGGGATGTGTGTTAATGCAACACTGCAAGGTTGTCGCATACGCATCTCGTCAACTTAAAGAATATGAAAAGAACTACCCTACCCATGACCTAGAGTTGGCCGCTGTAGTGTTCGCGCTGAAAATCTGGCGACATTACCTGTATGGCGAGAAAACCCAAATTTTTACCGACCACAAAAGTTTGAAATACTTCTTCACCCAGAAAGAGTTAAACATGAGGCAGAGAAGGTGGTTAGAATTGGTGAAGGATTATGACGTAGATATCCAGTACCACCCTGGGAAAGCAAATGTGGTTGCAGATGCCTTGAGTAGGAAGACGGTCCACTCGTCGGCTCTCATTACGAGGGAAGTAAGGGTACAAAGAGAGTTCGAGCGAGCCAACATAGCTGTAGCGACCAAGGGAGTCATAGCACAGCTGGCCCGACTCACGGTACAACCTACGCTTAAGCAGAGAATTATTGCCTCCCAACGAGAGGATCCTAACCTACAGAAAGTCCTAGGACAGCTAGACAAAAGTCCAGTAGATGGATTCTCGAAGTCATCAGATGAAGGACTATTGTATCAGGGACGCTTATGTGTTCCAGCAATAGAAGATTTAAGGAAGGAAATACTGATGGAAGCTCACAACTCACCATTTGCGATGCATCCAGGAGGTACTAAGATGTACCAAGATTTAAAACAACACTTTTGGTGGAAGAGCATGAAGAGGGATGTGGCCGGGTTTGTGAGCAAGTGCTTAGTTTGTCAACAAGTGAAAGCTCCAAGACAAAAGACGGCGGGGTTGTTGCAGCCCCTAAGCATACCGGAGTGGAAGTGGGAAAACATAGCGATGGACTTCATAGTAGGTTTACCCAAAACGCCTAAGGGCTATACAGTGATCTGGGTAGTTGTCGATAGGTTGACCAAGTCGGCACACTTTCTACCTGGGAAGGTTACATATAAAGTTGACAATTGGGCACAACTGTACGTGAAAGAAATAGTAAGACTACATGGAGTCCTAGTGTCTATAGTGTCGGATCGGGATCCACACTTTACGTCAGCATTTTGGCGCGGACTTCAAAAAGCACTGGGTACCCGCCTCGACTTTAGTACCGCCTTTCACCCCCAAACAGATGGACGAACGGAGCGTTTAAACCAAATTCTAGAGGACATGCTACGCGCTTGCGTACTAGATTTTAAGGAAAGTTGGGATTCCAAACTACACCTAATGGAATTCTCGTATAACAACAGTTTCCAAGCAACTATTGGAATGGCACCGTTTGAGGCCCTGTACGGGAAACGGTGCAGGTCCCCACTGTGTTGGGACGAGGTAGGAGAGAAAGAATTAGTAGGACCTGAGTTGGTTCGACTCACCAATGAGGCTGTCCAGAAAATTCGAGTGAGGATGCGTACCGCTCAACGTAGACAGAAAAGCTACGCCGATGTAAGGCGTAAAAGCCTGGAGTTTGAGGTGGGGGACCCANAAAACAAAATTGCGGTTAAATATATCGTATATATGTAACGCATATTCCCTAATTTGAATTCGAACACTTCGAACTCACTCGTCACACTGTTCTATGGTTTAGTTCGATATGAGCTAGCAGAGGGACCAAATCGACCTATAGATCATGGGCTCAATGATCAAAGATTAACCGATTAAACTCATTAACCTGGTTAACCAACATTCATTAACTACTAGGACACTCCACTATAGCCTAGTAGTTGCACTCGCCTCACTATAGATATATTTCTATCCATCTGATATAACCATGATTAGTAAGTCGATCCTTCACAGGTTGTTCGTAACTAGAGCTGGGTCAATTTATCGTTTTACCCCTGAAGTTACTTCTTGTTCCTTATGTCTCACTGATCCTCTAATGAACATTTGGTTTGTGGTCCAACCAGTAAACCGAATCCCTCTCAGGCCAATGAGAGGGTGGGGCCCCTTGTTCAAGACCTGGAGTCAGTGCTTAAGGGAACTACCTTTCTTCTATCCCTAAAAGTGGGTAGGAGTGAATTTCGTCTTGCACCCCACGTCCCCAACCATTCACCCAGTCTTACCCCTGAAATGGGAGGCCTGTTGAGTCGGCGAACTAGAGCCACTCTCACCCATGCAAATATAAGGATAATTCCGAATAAACAGGAGTTCATGGTTAGCTCGGGATTAAAATCGAGTGATCTAGGTTATCGAATGAAAAGAAAATCAGTCTCAACAGTAAACGACATTATAAAGTGAGAGTGGTTTTCTTCATGGTCCGATCTTATGCAATACTCATTGCATAGGACGCCCCCACTCACATGTCTCCACATGTACAATTTAGTGATCACATTGTTTATATCATATACAAAAGTGGGCCGCATCCATAGTGTCCCCAGAATAAGGTACTCAGCCTTATCCTTATACTATAGATCATTTTGACTATATACTTGAACTTGATCCACTCTTATGTCTCTACATATAGTTCAAGTAATCATACTATAGCCAGAGTGTTCTTAGTTTATTGGATTTAGATTAATGATAGTAAAGTTCACTTTATTCAATAACGATTTTTACTGAATAAACATCAATAATAACTTTATTGAAAATAGAATATATCTTTGTTTACAAACTATGAGTTTTAGGACATAAAACCCAACAGCAAAAACATGACATTGTCGATATGGGCATCTAAGTTATGTTGGACTAAAGTCACTTCAAGAGTATGGTTGAAAAAGAAACTGGTATATACATGGAGGGCTGATAACTTATCAAGGTGGTGAATTCACATCCAAAGAAGTCATTAGCTTTGGTAATGAAAATGGTATTCAAAGGCAAGCAAGAGCGGCTTATACTCCTCAACAAAACGGTGTGGCAGAAAGGAAAAACATGACAATTATGAATATGGTTAGATGCATGCTGACAGAGAAAAAGATACAAAAAGTTTTCTATGCAGAAGCAGCAAACTGGACGATTCATATTCTCAATAGAATTCCCACTCTAACCGTGAAGCATATGACTCTGAAAGAAGCTTGGAGAGAACATAAACCATCAGTTTCACATTTTAGAATTTTTGGATGTACTGTGTATGTTCATGTCCCAGACAACAAAAGAACAAAGCTTGAGGATAAAAGTTTGAAGTGTGTATTACTCGGAGTTAGTGAGGAGTCACAGGCGTACAAACTTTATGATCCAGTCTTACAGAAACTAGTAGAGATGTAAAGTTTGAGGAAAAGAATGGTTGAGATTGGCATAAAACCCATCAAGAAAAAGTTGCAGTTGATCTTGAATTAAGTAATAATACCTGCAATGAAGTTGAAAGGTCGGAGGATGAAGTATAAATGATGATTCATGTGAGTAAGCACAAGAACACTCATCTGCTGATGGTGATAGAAGAATTAGGAGACCAGCAAGATGATGGATGATTATGACAGTGGTGCAGCTTTTTTTTTTTCAGGACAAAAATATTACGTATCTAGCCTTGTTTGCAGGTGATCCT